GCATTTATTATTATATTGCTGCTTTTATACATTATATTATTTATTATTATAATTACTAATTTGGTTTCTGTATAAATATAAGATTTGCTTATTATATTTCTATTTTTCACATAATTTTTTTTAAAAATTCTGTTTAATTTTATTTAATTTTTATTTCTGCAACAAAAATACTTTTTAGGAAAATAAATTTTTATTTACATATATAACTATTTAATAAAACTACATGAAAATAAATTTAAAATGATTATTAAGAATTAAGTAGATAAACGATATAATAAAATAAAACTTTTTCGTTTAAAAACATTATTTTCTGATTAAATGAGAGTGAAATGTTTTAAATATTTAATTTATATATTCTATTTATTATATATAAGTTTTAAAAATTAATTTAAAGTGTTAGATATTGATCAGTATGATTACTAATTGGCAATTTTGCTACATTCCTCTAATGTGTAGAACGTAGGCATTAACTACCGTTGTTGGGAGATTAGAGATGGCACGATGACATGCGCTGACAGTTAATTCTACGTACTAAATTTAACTTCATCGAAGTGAAAGATTCTTAGAGATGTGTTGAAACATCTTTTATTATGTTTAGAATTTTACAAATTATTATTTTCTTTAAATAATTTTCTTCACAAAATTACTAAAACACGATTCGCCCTAACCATTAACCCTGTTTGAACCACTTAAATTTAACAGTTAATTTAATTATATATTTTTATATAATAACTTCTCCGTCTTTTGTTTTTTTCTTTTCCTCGAGGTAGCCCCGGTCTCCCCTATAAAAAATTAACTCAATTATAATNTTACAAATTATTATTTTCTTTAAATAATTTTCTTCACAAAATTACTAAAACACGATTCGCCCTAACCATTAACCCTGTTTGAACCACTTAAATTTAACAGTTAATTTAATTATATATTTTTATATAATAACTTCTCCGTCTTTTGTTTTTTTCTTTTCCTCGAGGTAGATTAGATTAATAAAATCATTAATGTTTAAAGAATAAGAATTTTTTTCTTTTATGTTTCATAACTCAATTAAAATTCCGAAAAAATAATTCATGAACATTCTGTTAACCTCTGTTAAACGAAAACTAAAAGACTTACATAATTTTGCATTCATTAATAATTATCATAAATATTCATTACTAAATTAATTCTATAAAATTTACAATTATTATTATTGTTATTTAAATTATTATATTAGTCTGCGCACAACTAAAGAGAAGGCTCATAAATTTTGCAAAATTACAAAAGGATTTAAGGCGTTCGCTTTAATATAATTTATGAATTATTTAAAGTTTTAAATTCCCTTTTAAAATAAATGATGCGAAAATTGATAGTTTGCATATTTAATTAAAGATATAATTAATTCATCTCGGGTTTACGAAATCAATAAATTGTAAGAAAGTCGTTGAACTCTTAAAATATAATTCTCAAATGGAAGAAAAATCCCTTCAATAGAATTTGTAGTTAACAATGTCTTAAAAAGGGATTATGAAGTCAAAAAAACTTTTACAGACTACGAACAATTTAGGAATTTTTGACGTGTTTCACAATACACATCATCACCAGTGAGATTTAATGTTAACATTTGTTGAAAATTTTCTTGAAATATTTGTTCATTCATAGTAGAAAAGGCAAACGAGTGTGTAATAGGAATATTAAAGAGGAAAAGGAATTCATCCATTCCGCTCTGACCTCATCTGGTCAAGAAAGTGCAGATTCTTGTTCGAATGTATTACGCTAACGATAAGTGAAAGTTCCCCATCTGAGACAGGTGAGCGTCATACATGAGTGATTTTGCCTTCGTGCATCGCGTCTTTGTCGCAGGAGTATAAATGGACAGGTTGGATAAATTCACCCTCAGTATGCTGGAGATGTGAAGAAAGAAAATATACTTTCACTGTCTTACATTCTCAGTGAGAAATATATTTATTATGTTCCTCATATTTTGTATATTCTTGTTGTGGAATGGTGTATTTCCTGCAGATGTACAAGTGAGTTTCTACTATTTATTATTATTATTATTGTTATTGCATTTTAACGTGAGAAAAAATTCTGATGCGCTATCGTAAATTTAAAATTCAATATGTAAAATTTAAAAATAATTTATTAAATAAAGTATTTTGAATTATAATTATCAAATTAATTATTAACTTTATTTAATTTAAAATGGTTAATAATTTAATTTCTTGATTTAAAATGATAAATATATTTTTAAAAGTCTTAAAGAACTCATCTATTTATAGACTAAGTAAAAAATTGCTACTAAAAACCTATAAAGATTTTTATTTTGTATAACGAGTTTCTTTGCAAATTAAATGCAAATAAATCTTAAACTGAACATAATACATTTCGATACTGGTATTATTAATCATTAATCATGCTAAACGAGGGAAATAAACCTTATTTATAACGATGATGGATTCGTTTTTCCGTTAAAACTAAACTCTTTTTTCATATTTTTATATTTGATATTCAATATTATCTGATAATTTTATATAAATTGCTGAGTTATTTTAATTTTTCTCATTTTATTATGAAAAAAGTTATGACACTCAATCACAAACTATAAAACTAAAATAATTATATTATATTGAATAAAATTCTGTTTGTTGCAATTGTTTATAGAGCGTCGAAATTCCGCCATTATTTCCTAATTTTACTTTCGCACGTCAATTAGAAGTAGAAGATGAACCCAATCCGATAATGAATCGAACGACTACACCTGGGAGAAAGAAAGGTAAGTACAAATATTTGCTTCTGGTAATTAGAGGGAGGATCCACCTGCTTAGAAACAGACTCGGAGGCAACTTGTTTCTTTAACCTTATAATATAGGCATTAGCTCAATTATTATCTGAAAAGACAGCTAGAATATATAATCAACAAAGGTAATATCTATCATCCATCAAAATGTATTATTTCAAGAGTTATTTGGAATCTTTTGTTTATTGAAGGCAATCATTAAGCTCGATACAATAAGAGGTCAGCTTATTGTCTGAAACTCGTGTTATAGAAAATTTCTGGCTTAAAAAAGGGAAATTATAATATATACAGTTGATTGTTTTTTTTTTTTATTCTACGCTCTATTAGAAAATTAGACAAAGTTTTCTTTCTGTGATGATTTTTATCTTTATTTGAATAATTTCATTTTTAATAAAACGAATTAATTATTAGAATTTTATTATTCTCGTGATAAAACCTGCAATACTTCCTAAAGTTAAAAATATTTTCTTTTTAACAAATGGTTTTTATCTCAGTTTACTGATCTTCATAGTTTTATGACAATTCCGACGGTTACGATCAAAATAGCATGAACTTGACCTTAAGCTATATAAAGAATATATAAGAATGAGGTTATAATGACACAATTAATCCATCATTTTGATTGATAATTCGTTTTTTAAAATACTATTTAATCCGGTAAATATTCATTGCTTTACCTAACAGTATGACAATAATCTAACATATTTTTAATATCTCATGTTTAAACACAGAAGAAACGGAAGCATTCTTATCCAATTAAATATCTGATCAGATAAGCAATCAAATCAGTCGGAATCATACAGAAATTCTAGTCGAACTAAGAGTGTATGATAGTTGCGTTTTACAATTTTATTACTTGTTATTTTATAGATAAATGTTAAATTATTTTTCTTCCTGCTGCTTATTTCTAATAAACTTCACATGCGAAAGAAAAGGTCATTTTGATTATGAATTCATTGTTTATCCTTTAATCAATAGAATTTTTTATCTATAAAAATTGTAATTTAACTCCAATATCCTTTCAAAATGAATTATTGTTTTTTTATAATTTAGACAAGTTTTAGTTCTATGCTATTTTAAAGTTATAATATCACTTTTATATATTTAGTTTAATATTATACTGTGATAATTACAAATATAAATATTTTTTAAAAAGTATGAAAATTTCAATTCGAATAATTTTCGGAAAAAAAAAAAAAAAAACATAAAAGTTCTCCTATGACCTTCGAAGTAACAAAAGATGATGAAAGTAACAAGTTAAAGCTAGTAATTAAAAATAAGATAGGAAAAGTACAAATCTGATGGAGTGCCGTGCAAGACAATCTTAAGAACGAATAACCCTCCGCCCTTCTTTCTATTCAAAGTATTAAAAAAAAGAGTTATAATTTTTTGTGCTTGGCTCTTTTCACCAATTTTCTTTCATATGTCGTGCAGTCGTACACTTTTCTCCTTGACACACATGTTCATTTGGCATAGGATGAACACAGCACGAGCCTCGTTTGCTTCCTATAATCTTTTATTCTTCTTCATAGCATGAAGTTAAAGCGCAAATACTTTCGTGTAAAAAACAATTTCCACACAGACTATTATTCCTCATCTATTTAGTTAAACATACAAGAAAATAAATGTACTACTTTCACACTTTATTCTATTGCCAATAACGAAAAATGGCATTTAAAAATACTTTAATTGTATTACTAAATAGAAGAAATTTTAAGTAGATTTTATATATGCAAAATTTTGATTTTTTAATAGTAACAATCACCTTTACTCGAGGGGTTTGTGATTTTTCCCTTTATGATGGCGAAGGAAACTTCACCACTTACGGATATCCACTGCAATATAGAAACAATATGGACTGCGCGTACAGAATTAAAAGAGTGGACGAATCATGCCAAATTCAATTAACTTTTCATGATTTCGACGTTAAGAGTAATGATGATGACACGTGTTCTAATGACTTTTTAATAATTGCTGGAGAACGATATTGTGGAAGTGAATGGAAAGGGAGAACAGGTATATTTGATACTCACATTTAACAACGAATGTAGAAATTTAAAGGGACAATATTGTAAAATTATAAATATATTTTACAGTAAGTGTTAATTTCTCTCCGGAATTGGAAGAATTAACTCTACATTTTCATACCGATTCTACCGGTTCTGGAAGGGGATTCTGGATCGAAGCTAGAAAATATCCGGGGATATGTAATTCTATGAGTAAAGGTTTGTTCTCTAATATAACAAATAAAATTTTCAAATTACAATATAATAATAAATTATTTACTTATTTATTTATTTATCTGTTAAAGAAACATTTTTTTTAAATAATTGAAATGTTACAAAAAATTTCTTAGCTATTTACAAATATTTTCTATTAATTCTTTTTTTAATCTTAATTATTATTTGGAATTATAATTATATATTGGTATTTTAATTAAAATCTAAACGCGTTTACAAACTATTAAATAATTTAAATTAATTTTTATAAAAATTTACAGATCTTTTCAAATTAGAAATTTACAGATTTACAGTATTTATATTTATGCTAAATTAATCATCATTAATATTTAAAATAACTTATAATAATTCTCTTTGTGATTCATTATTAATATATTAATTTGTCAATTTTAATTTTAAATTAAATAACTATTCAATATAAACCAGTTTAAAATTTATTTCTGTAATAAAAAAAAATTAAAATATTTACATTGATTGTAAAAGTTTTATTGATTACAAGTTTGCTTTTGGCAAAATATTTTTACAAATCTTTTAAATTTCCTGTTTATCTTATATAAAATACATTAGTTTACTTCAATGCATAGTTCGTATAGTTTATATTTCTTTATTTATATATATATTTTCAAACTAAATAAAATCTTTATTTCCTTTCTTATTGGGATCTCCAGCTATATTCCAAATAGAAAATCCTCGAGAATTCCGTAATCTTGAGTCTGCAGATGTGTAGAAACTCTACCGGTAATGCAATAATCCAAAACTACGGTTTGATTATGTTTATTTTGGTTGATTACATACATAAATAGATGCATTCGGGTCGACTTACATTTTATGGCACCTCATCAGTAACTAAAATTATTAAGAACTAGATATAAGTACAGAATTAAGTAGTGTACATGTATCGGTGTAAAATATGTTCCATATCATGTTTGCGTACTTTCGTTTTTTAAGGAGACGGTTGATTCAATACAAAATAATATATTACTATTATGCTCAGTTTTATTATCGTTTGTATGTTTAATTAATTTTGTGAGTTTTCCTACACACCTGCAGACTCAAGATTATGGAATTCTCAAGAATTTTCTAATTGAAATCCTTATATTTCATCAATGATCCAATGAATACAATATTTGTGTTCTAAACAATAATTAACATAACATTTTTCTAAACATAGCTAATTATATAAGAACATAAGCTTTAATTAATTAAATATGCTGAAATAATTCCATAAAAATAGTCAAATAATAGTATTTCTTGTATTCCACTTAGAATAGAGCCATCAAAATGTATTATTTCAAGAGTTATTTGGAATCTTTTGTTTATTGAAGGCAATCATTAAGCTCGATACAATAAGAGGTCAGCTTATTGTCTGAAACTNATACATTCAAAGTTTTTACTTTATTTTTCAAAATTTTTTCCTTATTATTTACTGGTATAATTTTTTTACCGAATAAAATTGAAAATATTTTAAAATTTTATTATAATTTTAATTTACACATGCATTATATTTATTTTTTAAAATTGAATTTTATTTCGTGCTTAATAAATAAAATTTATTAAATGATATTTGTTCTTTTCAATAATATTACTAAAAATAAAAAAAATATATAGACATAATCATGTTCTATTTTTAGTAATAATCATTTTTTTTCTTATTTTAGTAAGTTTAACGTCACTAAATTGAAACCGATTAAGCTATTCTCTGCATGATTACGTTTCAAATTAACCATTTAAAACGTCAAAAATTTTTCTAGCAGAGATATCTTGAGAAAGAAATAGAATATAAATTATAATTCCTTCTTATTAAATAAGTTATAATTGATTTTATTATATTAAATTTCGAAATTGGAAATATTAAAGACCATTTTTAATATAAAAACTTTCTTTAATGAAGCTTAAAAATCCGTAAATGTTAAATGTATTAATTGAAAAGAGCATATATACACGATTTCTCTTCCTGTTTTCTTTATGAGAAAGCAAATTTTTAAAAATACATAGTAAGAATTCAATAAACTCATTTATACCTATTACATGATTATCTTTTACAATCAATTGTTATAATATATTTTTATGTATAAGTTCATTAAATTATTGACTATTAAATTGTTATATTATAAAAAATGAGGAATATAATAAATATTAATAAAATGATTTTTTATTATGACTTATTTTAAACATAAAACAACAAAATTCTATTAAATCACTTAAACATAAATTAATACACATATTTAAACTTGAAAACAAATTATGTTTATCTATTTATACGTTATTCTTGCAAAATTTAACTAAACTCGAAATATATTTCACTAAATTTTCAGATTTTAATAACAGAACATTTTATTTACATAATAAAACAAAATAAATGTATTCCAGTTTTAATAAAATTTTACAAAAAAAAAAATATTATAATGGTAGTAATTTTTATTATTATTCAGAAGAAGAAACGACTTGCGACACGCAATATGATGAAGAAGAATTCACTCTGACTAGTCCAAAATATCCGAAAGATTACGGAAATTTAGAAGAATGTCGTTATTTAATCAAAAGAAGAGCAGAAGACGTCTGTGGATTAGAAATTACTTTCCTTCATTTTGATCTGGAACCAAGCGATGGATGCATCTATGATTTTTTAGACGTTGGAGGAAAGAAATTGTGCGGAACCATTTCACCTGATGCAGTCAGTACGTCATTTTCCTTTTATATTTTTAGATTTATAACATTCAGAATTGTTTCCAACGAATTATTTCTTATTTAGGAGTATTTATGTTTAACGTACCTGAAATGGTGATGAGATTCATCACTGACGATCAGACTACCAGGCCTGGATTCAATATTCGCGTCAGACAAGTAACTGATTGTTCTCCTGCAACTAGTAAGAATCCAATATTTTATTTTTAAGTAATTTTTCTGTGTAATTTATTATTTACAAGCACTGAAAAGTACTATAAATACTATACTATACTAAACGAATATGGAATTACAAGAGCAGAAAGTCTGTCATTTTTTTTATTTTAATAATAAAAAAGAAGGATTAAATTAATCGTAATTTTTGAGCTAAGAAATCTGGGCTTATATTTTAAATTATTTATGTATAATTTATGTAAATTTAATCACCATTCTCAAACATATACTTATGTACGCAGTGTATGCTTCATTTATGCCGGAAATAATACTGAAATTTCTTTTATCGTTTAAATTTAAAATAAAATTTAGAAATTTTTTCAATAATACTTGCATTTCTCTTTAAATTACCACAATTTTCCATTCATTCAATATAATTTAAAGACAGTACTTATTTCTAATTTTTATTCAATAAATTGTTGTTCTATTTATTTGAATAAATTTGACATAATAAACAATCCGTTTATTCTTGGTGGAGTTTGAAAATAACAGAATTTATTAGCTTGGAACATGAGAGAAAACAATTTCTCTTAAATAAATAAATTTTAGGTGGTGTTTAGAATTTTTTACACGCGAGTTTTATCACTATTGTTTAGAATAAATCTAATGTAGTTCCAACAATTATAAAATAGACGTTTCCTCATAATTTCCTTCACGCAAAACATGATCTAATTTTTAAAAGTTATAACAATTAATACAATAATCACACTATGCCTATTTTAAATCTGTATTATAAATTTGATATACTGTATTTGTTTCTACTTTTAGTGATTCCGGGCCAAGTATCGTGTGACGTGTGTACAGAACAAATTACAGACGAAATAATAAGTTACGATTATCCAAAAAATTATCATAATAATTTGGCATGTACTTATTCAGTGGATCGACACGATGATCAATACTGTAGAGTAGAGTTAGACTTTACGGATTTCTTTTTGGATTACAGCGTGGATTGTGTTAAAGATTATCTAGAAATTAATGAAAGGAGATACTGCGGGAGTTCATTAAAAGGAAAAAAGAGTATGTTTTTTTTTATTTAATTTAATTTATTTAATAAACTAAAATACTAAATTTTAGTTAAATAATTAAGACAAGTTTTTTGAAAATTTAGAATTTCTTGCGTTTGATACGAACGGAAGCGTCGTGATGAATTTTAAATCAGACGGAACAATTACCAGAAAAGGGTTTAGGATAAAAGTACGACAGATACCCTGTCCACGTCTTTTGCCAACTCAACCAGGTTAGTCGATTTGTAAAAAACAAAAACAAAAAAAAACAAAAACATTGAAGAGGCTAATAGTAATGTCTGGATCCTAAAACATATTTCAGTTTCCAAAATTTTACGATGAGTACAATCTATTTTTTTTCTTTTTAACTCTGTCCTGTGAGCTAAGGGGTGCCACCGTATTTTACTAATCTTCATATTTCTAACAAAATTACAGCTGATCTCTTGTAAACTTTTAGAAATAGGATTAAAGATTGTTTTATTAAAAAGGAATTAGGAATAAAATCAAAATTAAAACATTAGTTTAAATTATTTTGAAACACATTATCGCTTGAAAAAAAAAGAAAACTGTTTTTAACCTATTTTCATCTTGTTTATTAACGTTATTCGTGGATAAACAAACAACAAAAATCTCCTTTGAAATAGTTTATAAGAGAGCAACGAACCGAATAACATATAACAAGAATCATTTATTCAGTTCTTTGAAAAATTTTCTAAGAGTGTTTTAATATATATTTAAATACATAAAATTAGTACAGACTTTATATAGCCTATAATATCTGGTTAAATTTTTTCACAGATACCTAACATTTAAATTAAAATACTCTATAAAATATTTTTCATATAAATAAAATATATTTTTTTATTTTATATTCGAATCTTCTTGCACGATTGAAGTAGTTACATTAGTAAATTAGCATATTTGTAATTTATATTAAAAATATTCTGTTCGTAACTCATTAACTACTATAATTAACTATTTGTTATTGTTATAATTGATAACCCGTTATTTTAATGGAATTTTTTTTCATTTTGATTTCTAGAAAAGCAATCATGCGATCATATGTATGCCCAAGAGACGTTTTACATTCAAACTCCTAATTATCCAGCGGATTATAGTCGAGACATGAATTGTCGATACATTATTCGACGATTAGATAATAATGTTTGTCAGTTGAATATTACATTTATTGCTTTTGACGTCGAATATAGTCCAAATTGCGAAAGAGATTATTTAGAGATTGAAAATGAGAAATTATGTGGAGTGATAACACCTAACAGCATACGTAAGTAGTTTGAAATTCTTTCTCATATTGCAATATATAAATTTATGTGCATTTATTCAATTCTATACTGTTAGAAAATTCTTTAAATTTGCCTGACAAAAATTCATTGATGAAATCTATTTTTTAATTTGCATTTTTTCGATTGTAACTCGTAAATAACATTCAAATTTTCTCGAGTTGTTATGTTTTTAATGTGATTATTCAACAGAAAAATAATAAAAAACAAATGTTTATTCAGACATAATGTTACAGTAGATATTTATTTTAGACTGTATATTTTAGTGAAAATTAGAATATTTTACAAATTTATCGCAAATTGTTTGCATTAACGTATAAAAATAACATTTTTTATTTTAATATATTCCAGAATGTTTGTTATGATAATATTAAAAGCTTAAATATATGAATTGAATCATTGTCGACATTCTGAAAATGATTTACTCAAGAATATATTTACGACACAAATGTTTGAAAATCTTTTTATTGTCTTAGCCTGTAAGAAAAAAAAAACAAAAACCATTTCTATTTTAGATTTTCCTTTTAAATCTTATACTTGTTATTTTTTAAACAGTTAAATTTTACCAATTGCAATATAACATTAAAAACAAATAAAAATTTTCTAAAATTAAAAGAAGAAATATAGTACACCCCCGCTTTTACGATCGTAAAAGCGGGGGTGTATTATATTTATGGAAAAATGTCATAATTTCGCGCACGATTAATGTTGTAAATTATTTCATGAAAATATATTACAAACAAAAAGAAATGCAACATCTAAACAATTTCATACAATTATAATAGAACATTTATGCTAATTCTAAAGCAGGAATCTTTAAATTTAATTTTCGGATATGGCCGTTCATACTTATTTATGAACATGATAATTATAATTTTAATTTTTCAACAATAAATTTTAAAAATATTCATTAAAAAATGCTATTTTATTGTTACTATTTTGCTTTTAAACTTGAAAATAAATATTTATAAAAATCGCTTAAAAATTATTCATTTAAGTCAATTCTAAATCATTCTGTTATAACGAGTACATAGAATTTAATTAACTACAACACTCTCGCTTATGAATGTTTATCATTCCGTAAACTAGAATCAAATAATATAATTTTTAACTCGTTATATAAATCTAATTTTTATTATTGTTGCATTAGCAATGTCAATAAATTTAATTTCTACTACGAATAAATTCAATTTCTCTTTGAAATTTATGTAATAATGTAAACATTTAATGAAAATAGCGTTCTTTTAATTTTTTTAAACAGTTTTTATATTACATTATAAAATACTGTTTTAAAACAATGTTTTAAATTTTTAAAAAATGTTATATTACATAAATTTAGTAAATAAAATTTTTTCTGACTTGTGAGCTAAACGTGAACGTGCGAATGGGAAATTTTTCTCACTCTCATGGATCATGAAAGCACGTGACACACGACTTTTATCACTAAGAGGAGATTTCCTGACAGCACATGCCAGTTAATACTGTTAGCAATACATCTAATATATTGTAATACTAATGGATGGAAAAAGACATTATTATTATTGTTTTTACTTGTTAAGTAAAAATGAGTGCAGGAATATCTGGAACACATGTTTGCAGAGTCTGTGTTAACTAATATCACTCCTCTTACATGGTGGTAGTCACTACGTGAAAAAATTGATAAACTTGTTTTAAAATTAGTTACATAGCTGCACAAAGCAGTGGCTTCTTCAGCGGGAATTGAGAGAATTTTCTCTACCTATGGACTTGTTCATTCGAAACTTAGAAATCGACTTGGACAGGAAAAGGCAGCAAAGCTTGTTAAAGTTTTCAAGCACCTAAACAAACACTACTGAGCGTTGTACATTTCTGAAAATAAGAAATTCTTCAAGCTGCAGAAGCCACTGCTGTCAATCATGTTTTGGTGTTTGTACATGGAAATCTTAAAAATGCCATTGCATAAAGAAATATTTAAAAACGCTATATTTTATATTAAATAAAACATTCTGTACATTCTTGAGTCTTACACTGAAGTTTTTCTGTTTTGTTTCTTTCTTTTTCTATTTTACTAGATCAAGTGTTTTATTTCTAAAAAATCCGTTTTAAATGTTTTAAAACATTTTTTTAAAATCATGCCAACCCTGGTCTCCATGAATGTCAGACAGAAAGTGCAGCGCCACAGTTTAATGATATAATGGATTCCCTCATGTTGAAATCAAAAACTAAGCTCTCTGATTTGTATATCGTATTCTGAACTCGTGATTTGTTAGGAAATGTTTATTTTGTGTTGTTAAGACTCATAAATTTTAATGGATACTATCGAGGAAGGAAATAATGAAATACAGCTTACAGAATAGTTTCAACAAAGTTGTGGAACATATTACGAGAACTGAAACAGATGAAATTCGACAATTCGATCAATGGGTGCTAATAAAAACAATAACAAAACATTTGAAATTGATAGAAAAAATTATTTTGGCTGACAGATGGTTCTAAATATTTAAAGTACAGTACAAAAAAGTTTTCGAATTCCAAGACTTTAATAATTTGATAAAATTAGTCCTTTGTTTTTCAGGAACTACATCTTTTGTAAAAAGAATATTTTCACTCATGAATTCCAGTGGTCAAAAGAGAAGTTAAAATTAAATATTGAAGCCACGAAATTAATGCTAATTATAAAGCAAAATCGCTACTTATAATGAAATAAGTTTTATGATAAAATTGCGAGTGACCAGAACTTAAAAAGTTATTCTGAAA